GTAAACCTTGAGCTATAATCCCCTCTCCAGGCCAATAATTATCAACCATCTCTTCCGTCAAATTTGGAGCACGCAGCAAGGCTGTGCTGTTCCATTCCCTCTGTAGCTGGAGGGAAAGACAGCTCCTGCCTGTGCCTCGTGCTGTGCTGCTCAACAGCAAGATCAATCTTGTGTTAAGCTGCCTAAACAGCCCACGAGCTTGATGAGAGCTAATGGGAGACTGCATGAACATATATTTTTTAGTTGTTATCTGCAGACTTACCAGTGGCGAGCTGAGAAGCTGTTTTAATGATTCACACAGCTTTGCCTTGACAGCTGTTCAGACACGTATTTCTCAGCAGCAGTAAGTGGGTAATAGACCAATACAGCCAATTTGCTTCTCTGTTGCTAACATTTAAAAGATAAAACAAAGAGATTATTTCATAGTTTTCAGTGGGATTTAAGGCATGGGAAGGAGTAAGGGCTATACCTACCTGGCAGAGCTGTGTGCAGGCTCCACAGAGGTCTGTCACTTGGTGCATAAAGAAATATTTCTAGGACTTCGAGCTGCAATTTCAAGGAACAGAACTGAAACCAGGCTTGCACAAAAGCCATCACTGAGAAGTCACCCAGGGAGCTACAGACTTTTAATTCCATGTTCCTCAGGGCTATGGCAGAGCTTTCACACATAAATGCACAAGGCAATGAACTGGGCCTGGACCAAAGCTCTGACTGCTCCAGACTCAGGATCTGAGGCACACACATCTTCTGTGGGAAGGACACACCGTGCTTGTGGAAGTTTCGACACAGAGCATCTCTGTTTTCAAGTGCACGGAACAACGTCACTCTGATTTTTGAAGCATTAGTCAGGAGTGTAGGAGGAAGGAGGGGGGAAAAAACCCTTCCTTTGCTCTGTCCTATAGATTTTGGCAAGTGGCTCAAATGAAGTCCAGAGCAGAGAGTCAAAAAGAGTGTTTTTATTCATTCACTCATTTTATAGGAGAAAGGTTTGACTTGTATTAACAGCCCTTGGAGAATCCTAGGGAATCCTGGTGATGTTTTTCCTGCCTGGGGTTTAATTTTGCACAGGGATTGGAGCAGACATTTTAACTAGCCAGAAGATAAACAGAAGCCCTGACAGTGGGTGGAGGCAGAAGATGAATGGGGTAGGCAAGGTGTTTGAACTGAAAATAGCCACAAGAAAGAGAAACATTAAATAATTGCTGCAAAGGAGAGATTTCACTACCAACAATATCCCAGGCAAGAGGTAATGTGTAAGCAGCAAAGATAGCACTGAAGCAATGAAATGTCATTTGTGTTAAACTTTTTCCTTCTAGAGGTTTAGCACTGTGCTCTTCCTACAGAAAATTTTATAAATGAGAGAGGAATTTTAACAGTTTAAAGACTTTTCCAGGAGAAAGTGAGGGAGCTGTAGCTCTGTGGTACCTACATAAAAAGTAGATACTGCAAGACCAATGTCTGATTTTGGTTATCAGGGCACGAAGCTCCCTGCTCTCAGCAGAAATTGCATGCTCACATTCAGAGTTGCTGTTCCAGTTACTCCTTGCGTTTCATGGCAGCAGTTTGTGCTCAGCTGGATCCAGCTTGATGAATGTTCCTCAAACACCATCCATCTTGCTTTAGGAGAGCAAGGAGGGGAGGTTATTTGCTGCCTGACTCAGTGAGAGAGCATGTTTTGCGAAAGATATGAAACTTTGCAGAAGCTGTATTTCCCAGCAATCACCTCAAAAAGGCCCATCCTCCAGCTGGACTGGAGTTTCATGCATTATGCTAAAATTCTAATTTGCTCTACTTCTCAACAGGCTTTGCTCACACACATATCTTTGCAGCCAGTTCCTGGGGGAGGAATTGATTTATAATACACTTGTTAAAATGAAGAAGTGAGACTGTTTAAGGGACTTTCTTAATTCTCACTGATTATCATGCTAACCCTGATAAGATTTCTCATTGTCCCTGAGACTTCCTGAGATCATTCTCTACCATTGTTCTTTTATTCTCTATCTTTAGAAACACTCTTTTGTGTTTTTAACAGGCAGACTTACATTCATAAGGAATTGCAGGAACAGGGGAGTGGGGAGGAAGTATGAGAAATTAAACTGTTTGTTAAAACACAAAAGGAAAATTAAAACACTGAGTTAAAGTAGTGAACTGTTCTTTATCAGGACCACTCCTAGCATACCCACAAACTAGGGCTTATCAGCTTTCTGAGGAAGGGAATATTTTGTACAAGGTCAGCACTTACACTTACAGCTCAATGACAAGAAGAGCAGCTGGATTCAAGTATTTGAGCTTTTTGCTGAAATTACACAGTGAGAGAAGAACAACAGATGCAACTCTGATGCTAAAACCAAGAAAGACCTTGCGGTTTCTATTCTGCTCAGGTAGACCTCTTTTATCTGAGTGTGCATTGTTCAAGCTTTTAGGAAAGCTTTGATTTCTCAAGGATTAAACTTCAAGAGAGAGTTTTAAAATTTATTTCTGCACTTTATATTTCTGGAGTCAACCTGCCTTCAGGATTTCTTCCATAACCATACACACACAAACTTACATTTCAATAGGACCTTCACATGCCCTCATTTATTGAGTAGGTGCTGATAGCTTAAAACAACATTTGTGCAAAGAATTTTGTGAAATAATACCCCTGCATTTAATATTCCTGAGGTATGTCTAAAATGTTTCTTCCCTGAACAGCAACATTACTTTTGTTCTCCATATGAATGTTGCCATTTCACAGAGGAGCAAAGTGATGCACAGGCAGCCCTGCAAAAGCCCAAGTGACCTTCTGCTGGTGAACTCCAGGTGATGCTCATGAATGCAGCCAGGTACATGTCTGTTAAGTTGATGTCAGTCATGATTGGCGCAGTTACACTCTCCCTTTTCCTTTATAAATGTGTTCCTTCCTTATACAAGCACCAGGACATGTCTGATGCATTTGTGAGCCACCTAAGTGGGGTGGACATAGGAAAAGTGTGTGGTTGTCAGAAGGATCCACTTCCAGAGCCAACTGGCCTCCCTGTGGCAAACATCTGAGGCTGTCCCATGTTGGCTGCAAGCTGATCAAAAGATAAGATGATATCAACAAATGTGTCTAGGTCTATTAGGAAACTGCTTCAGATAGGGTTTTTTTGAGTTAGTTTTCATCTGTGCCAGGCCCTGTTTTGACTTGGTTGATGACCAAGGAGCCACCCTCCTGCTACAGGAAAGGCAGGTAGGACTGACACACCCTTCCGAGAGGGGCCTACATTTACAGTGGTGTCTTAAAACCATGCAATTGCTTTAGCCTAATTCAGAAGGACAGTTTGCCTAAAAAATAGAGAACAGCAATGTTTAAATGGCAGGGATCATGTATCTCACCTTCCAGTGCATCTGTGCTTGGAGCCACGCTGAAATCCCACTTCCCCAAAGAAATCATTGCTCCCTCCCTTATCTTCCTGTGTGCAGCTCCTCCATCTTGCTGCCAGCAGGTCAGGTTGCTTGGCTTCTGGCATGCTCCACTTCTGCCAGCACTCCTCTCTGACCTGCTCTCCCAGCAGCAGCCAGCTTGGGCTCTGCTCCAGGCTGTGAAGAGACAGGAGGGGTCAGAGAGGAGCAGTGCAGCCTGCTGCTGGAGAGAGGACAGCAGAAGGAGCTCCATGCAGCAAGCCTCTCCGTTCCAGCAGACAAGGCAGGGACACTGGAAGCACAGATCTGCTCACAGGAGACAAGAGTCACAGCCCCTCTTCCCTACTGTCAAAGAAACGGGGAGTAGTCATGTATCCAAGTCCTGCATATCCCACCTGGAAATATATTTATTACTCACTGAGCTGCAAATCGATTGCCATTGCCTGGTCCCTGTTCCTGCAGAGCTTTCCTCCTGTCATTGACCCTGCTCCCCAGCTGTGCTTCTGCTTCAGAAAACCCCCCCAGCCACTGCTCCCTGCTCGTGCCTCAGCCATGGATTAGTGTTGTGCCTTGGCACCAAAGCCCTCCTGAGCAATTCACAGTTCTTCATAGTGTGTGTTCTCATTGCAAAACAAATGCAGGGCCTCCTGTGCTCCCACTGAGATGAGCAGGACTTGTCCCCTGCACCGTCTCTCAGCTCGTGCAGATCCATTCCTTCACCCGTGAAACTACGGATGTGTCATGAAAATCATCAGGATGGTGTGACTACCCAGGAGAGAGGCTAGGAGGCAAAGTATAAACTTTAAAAAGTTACTCATAAGCACGAGGTGTTGCAGCCAAATTAGGGCACCACAACTGATGTTTCACGCAGGCTTCTCACACCCTTCAAAAGTTCAGGACCAACATGATTTAACAGGTCACTGACAGCCACACCACCGGTTACTAATCACAGTAAAACTTTCCAAAGCAGGTCTATTTTTGCAGCATTCTTGCTGCTTGTCTATTGATCCAGATGTCCCTGGAGTCAGCCTTGCTAGAGGTAGTTATCAGTACAGCCAGAGATACGGGGGGGAGAAGGCGGGGGGGTTTCAAAGATGTGTCAGAGGAGCTAGGATTTTGGTGTTATCTTGGCTGTCCAAAATCCTTTATCCTTCACAGGCACCTCTAACCTTACAAGAAGGAAAGTCCTTACTTCCAGGTCCGGGCTGTCCTTTTGTTTGACTTCAACACAAACAATCCCTAAGACTCCAGTAAAACTTCACTACCTCGTGACATTACAGGGTATAATCTGAGCTAATACGTACCTTAACAAGGTACGTATTAGTTCAGCACACTTCCATTCTACAGAGACGGGCTGATGCAGTGGTTGGGGCAGGAGTTTGTGCCCTCTCTCAGGCCTGCTGACTAGCACTGCGGCACACAGCGGCGCGGCCCCACGTCCGTACGGGCGCTGCCCCCGCCGAGGCGCGCAGCATCCCTCGGGCCGCCCGCGGGCCAGCACCGCTGCGTCCCGCAGCCCCCGCCGGGCCGGGACAGGGGCATCCCGGCCCCTCCCCGGCCGGCCCCGCTCGGGGCGGGGACTCCCGAGTTTCGGCGGCGGGGGCCGCGGGGC